TTATCACATAGAAAACAAGTTGTAAAAATAGAAAATGAACGTAGTACTGAAAAACTGGTGTCATTTGGCGTGCCTCAAGGAACTGTTCTGGGGCCAATACTATTTAATTTATATTTAAATAATATATTTTCTTACAATTCTACAGGCAAATTAATTGGTTTCGCAGACGACACGGCTGTAATATATAATGCAAAAACATGGGGAGATTTAAAAAGTAAAATTGAAAATGATTTAAAAAATATATTCGATATTTTTAATCACAAATTACTAACAGTTAATCATAAAAAAACATATATTGTACCGTTTACTAGCTATAAAAATAATTTACCTGATTATAAGAAAATAATTGTCAACAATATCGATATCTATCTGAAAAACGAAATAAAATATCTTGGAATAAAACTAGATGGACTTCTCATTTGTCAGACGTTGCTAAGACGTTAAGATTTTTATTGTATAAATTTAAACAATTAAGAAAAATACTGGATTTATCACATCTGAAAACAGTTTACTACGCACTTGTGGAATCCCGTCTGAGATACGGTATTGCCAGTTGGGGAGGAACCATGCCTGGTCATTTGGAACAAGTAGAAATACTCCAAAGAAAAATATTAAAAGTAATTACTTTTAAGAAAATGAAATATAGCACAGAGCTCCTATTTAATTTAATTTACCTTTTTAAAAACCGTGCTGACTTAAAAACACTTGACCATCATTATCAAACAAGAAATAAGTCTAAAGATTTTGTACAAACAAAAACAGCTAAAAAAACAATAGGAACTAGGTATTTCCAATTTTTAGCACCACGATTATTTAACTTTCTCCCAGAAATATATAAAATGTATTTAAGAAAATTAAACTCAATATCATCTCTAAAAACTATTTTTAAAAGATACATAAAATCATTAAAGGCCGATGACATTGAAAAAATTCTTGAAATCTAAGAATAATAATATGTATCTAACAAAAAAAATGTAAAAAAAAATGTAAAAAAAAAGTAAAAAAAAAAAAAAAAAAAAAAAAATATGTATACGAAGTGTAAACCTTTTTTACTGGTCAGTGTACCCCATGCTCAACCTTGAAGGTCTTAATGGGTTGCACGGATCAAAAAAAAAATTTGTATTATTTTATATTATATGTACATTATATACCCTTTGTAGTAAGTTTACTGTCATTATATCATTTAGGTTTGTTTAGTTAAATGTATTTTTTTTGTCTATACTGTCTTATATAATTATTGTAATGTTCTTTAACTAAATAAACATTATTATTATTATTAATAACATTTTGTCAGAGGAAATTAACTGTATCAGAGGTGTTCCGCAGGGAAGTATATTGGGTCCCCTGTTGTTTTTAGTGTATATCAATGACATTGTTGATTTTTCTTGTAAGGATTCAGATAACTTGATAAGAGTTGTTAATGAAACACTGCAATGTTTATAAATGACAAAAGCAACAAAATAAAAAAACAAAGAAGAGACAAACATGGAGTTATAGTTCGGAAAGTGGTGAATAATGGCAGGACTCTGGCGATAGTTGTGATAATGTGAGTTTTTCGTGGGAGGCCAAGGAATCTAATGGGACCTTGACTCAGGATGAAGAAACTGATTATGTACATAATTTAGAATTGAACCTTGAAGGGGAAGGTGAGAAGGAACATAATGCAACTTCCCTGTACAAAGAAGGGAATTACATACTAGTGTCATTTCCAGACAACAAGAAACAACACAAATATATATGCGTTATACCGGGGATAATAAACACTATCGAAATTTAGGTAGTAGCCTTAGTCTCCTGCAATGAAGCAAAAACACAATTTAAGTTGAATGAAAATGATGTCAGTGTTATTAAAAAATCTCAAGTTATAGAAGAGTTTCCCCTTATGAGTTGTGTTGGAGACGAGTTTAACAAAAAATTTCTTGTTGATGGGTATCTGTGTAAAACCTGTCAACTACAGGGTATATCGAGTGTCAACTACTAGATTAAATGAAAAAAATAGTGTCATTTACTGTGTCTGTGCAGCTTGTTTCTAAATAGTCCAATAACTTATCTTTGGAGAAAATGTTAAATAATGTCAAAAAATTGCCATCAATAATAACGTGGAATTAAAATGTATTACCAAAAGAAAAATAACTGGTATATTTGCGATTGTAATTTTTATTTTCTTAATTTTTAGTTCGAAAGTAAAACGTACAATTAATTATTAAGACTAGTTTCTTATCAATAAGTTACAAAATTGCATTATAGCCACATATCATAATTAAACACAGAAATCTAGTACTTGCTGAACATTTAAGATATAAAGGATGTTGAAGAACATCCTAAAATTGGTTATTTATAACCTTTCTACTTTCTGATATCTATTTCCAGTAATACTGGTATTATTACAAAAGTAAAGGTACTTTTTCTTCTTATTTTAGGTAGATACAGCTATCCATTTATTTCTTTGATTTAATTTTCTTTTTGCTACTGAAAATTTATATAATTTACACTGTTTATCTGCTAGTATTTTTACAATTTACAATAAAGCACCTCCGGTTGCTTATTGTATTGTTTTTACCTATTTTTTGAAAAAAATGTAAAATTTATACGTTTATTTGATACGCCAAAATTAAAAAATATCGCCCCAAAGTTCTCGAATTATTCACAGCTTGTGCTAGTATCGCTTTTGAATCCCCTATACCATGATTTTCCCGCAACTTTGATGAGAACTTAATTGTCACTTGTCATTTCTATCAAACAGGACAGGGATTCATATGTGCTTACTCAACACGTAACGAGTCAAATAGAGAGAGACATTACATACAAATCGCATTCTGTGGAACGAAGATAGTCGTCTCAACACGTTCCGTATTGAAAGATGGCATTGTTTTTGGGATTACTTTTGAAGAAATGTCTTTGCAATTTGTATTACAACAGGACAACGATCCGAAACATTCATCTCGCTTTGTTCAGGAGTGGTTTCAAGAGAACTATGTCCAGTTTTTTTGGTGGCCAGCATACAATCACCAGACCTCATCCCCATTGACAACCTTTAGCAAGAGGTTGTACATCGTATTCGTACTACAAGATTCCCATCAGTCCTTCATTGATCAAATTAATATGCCAACTATTGCTATCCAAAATTTGATTACACCAATGCCGCGTCGTTCCCAAAAAGTTATAGCTAATAATGGATAGATATCCTATTAATTATTAAGAATCTGTTTTCATGTTGTTTAAACAATTTAAATTTTTTAAAGCATTAGAAGTTGCTTCACTTCTGTTCAAATTGTATATTGCCATTGAGTTGATTAGAGGTGGATATCTTATTAGGAAGTCATCTTCAGAATTGATTTTAGTTGCCATATCTATTATACCAATTTTTTGAAAAATAGGTATTGCAGTAGTTGGCCATTTCTTTGTCATTTGTAAATTGTTTATTATTGTTTGGAATATTAAAATCATTTTTTGTTTTATTGTTTCGGTGTTCATTTGAAGCTTCTTTAACTATTTTGAATATTTTTTTAATATCATTGTTACTATTTTGAATTTGAATTGTATAATAATAATTTTTAGCTTTAGTTATTATTATATTTAGTTGGTTACGAAATATCCTATATTCTCTTAGAAGATTGTTGTTTTTGGTTTTTAATATTTGCTTTTTCATTTTATCCCTATATTTAATAGACATGTTGATGCCTTGACTTATCCATGGTTTTATTTTTTTATAAGTATTATGACTATTAGTTATATTACATTGGTCTTTTAGGGAATATATTATTTCAATAAATTTCTGGTAGGCCAAAATTGGATTGCTAAGAGAAATGACGTTGTCCCAGTTTACATTTTCTAATAATTTTGTAAATCTATCTATATATCCGTGTGTTGTATGTTGGTTTAATGTATTATGGTTAGAGTTTCTTTCGTTTTTTTAAGGTGAAGGGGGAGAAAAAGTCCTTTATATCTCACAAGGAAAGTCAATGTTTAATTATTTAACAAAACATTGAGTGCGACCGGTTTCATTTTACAATTTATTTCACCCCACATTTGATGAAACTTGTTTTGTAGTATTCCCTAGTGGATGGAGAGTATGGTGAGTTTTCTCTTTTTTACTATTTTATATATCGTTTGCTCTAAGTGTTGACACACCTTACACCACATATTCTCCTTTCCACTAGGCGAGCCTGAAGATGAAGTGATGACACTTCGAAACCGGTCGAACTCAATGTTTTGTTAAAAATTAAACATTGACTTTCCTTGTGAGATATAAAGGACTTTTTCTCCCCCTTCACCTTAAAATTACCTCAACTCACACATGGCTACCCCCCTTGTCAATTTCTTTCGTTTGTTGTAATAGGTATTTAATAAATTGGAAAATTATCAGTTAAATCAGTGTCAGTTACCAACGATTTAAATAAAACATTTTTATTTGGCATATTATTTTTTATAAAAATATGATCAATACATGATTTCGTTTCTACAGTAACCCTGGTGTATGAATTAATATATAATACAAATCCCAAGGAAGATAACATTGCCAAATATCTATTTGGTTTGAAGGTACCTTTTTGTTTGATGTACCCTACATAGGTATGTCAATTCAGTTTTTTTAACGGATGTCAAATTAATAGAGTAATAAACAAATATCAAGAAAAGTATCATTAAATGTGCAATCTTCATTATTATGATAAAAATGTGAGATTTGTAACAATAATAATAGTAATATAAATAATTATTTTGAACAATTAGAAAATGTTGAACTATGTAAATTATAATTATCCTTATAACGCAATAAATAATAATTACCCATAACTAGTAGGTATCTACTTAAATACCTTCAACATAGAATAAAGATCAATCTTGCGTTTTTTTAACATATACCTATCAAGGTTATATTTGTGTAAAACCGATTTATATAGGTATTTCTTTATTTTTTCAAAAAAGTAGGTGGAGACAGCGCTTTTGTTGTTATAATTTGTTTATTCACTGGCTATTAGTAATTAAAAAATTTGACTTACCACGTTATAAAACACTTTCTTATCAAACCACTTCTGACACTTAATTAGTTATTAACCGGACACAAAACCAAACAAAACAGAAGTTGTATAACTTATCATCAGAATGTCACTATAAGGGTTCCATACACTTTTCAGCGGTATGATCAAGAGGTTAATGAAACAAACAAAGCATCGATCTTAGCAGAGCTTTCAGCGCCAGGCCAAGACTTACTGAGGACTGTTGACTTTGATGAGCTTTCGCCACGCCTTCGCTGGTGGGGAGAAACTCACCTCCCAAAACCACAGTTTCTTATCTTATTACCATAAATTTGTGGTAGATTTAAGATATAGTGGACTTGAACAGGTCTCTTTTATATGTTTTGCATATTCTTTAGAGTTGCATTCTTTGAGTGCTTTTTTATATTACGTTGAAAAATGTATTTTTATCACGGGTTTGTTTTGCATTAGAATTTAAAAAAAAGCATTGTTTTTGTTTTGATCGCGTTTCTAAAGAGATGTCAGATTTTTTGATTATTAATATGCTTCTAAAGTTATTGTTTTTACCAAATTCAATTTTGTCTCTTCTATAATAAATTCAAATACGTAGGTATTTACCACATACCAGTCTAGGTACACCTACCTATGTTTTTTGTAATAAGTTATGGGGGAGAGTAGGTATGAATGGGTAATTTTTTACTCGCCAATCGCTAGCTCCTTAACAATCAAGTTTTTTACAAAATTTGTTAGGTACTACCCAGACAACACACCAAATCCCAGAGATATCCACAGAATATCTTTTGTGGATATCCAATATATCCACACGATAGCAGAAATATTCCGTGGATCTAATATGGATATCCAAATGTCCGTCTATATCCAGAATATAGAAGATATCCTAATGGATATCCAGCAAAATATCTAATGGGTATCTTCCAAAAAATACAAGAAATCCCAGATATATCCACAGAATATATTTTGTGGATATTCAATATATCCAATATGGATATCCAACCAAATGTCCGTCTATATCCCAGGATATAGAAGATATTCGGATATTCAGCAACATATTTTATCTTTAGTAGAGGTTCATAAGTAACCAATGATTATTGAATAATGTCGAAAGAAAATAGCAGAGATAAAAAATATTTTCAACATTCAAAATATTTTCAACACTCTGCCTTTGATTTTGCCCACTAAGGAGAAAGTCGTCCTTATTAGGAATCTTCAGCATTAAATGGAAATTCTCGACTCCAGTCTCTAATGAAGTCTGAATAGGACACACATTTCGGTCGAACTCAATTACGGCGGGTCGAGCATGAGTAGATGCGACAGTGGTATCGCCATCTATAGGTACTTAGTAAGCAAAATCAAATAACATCTAGTGGATATCCACGATGGTTTGCGTTTGCGCCTAGACTTTGATATATTTAGTGGATGTCCATGGGATATTGAATACACCTTAAAAAAATTAATTTTAAATATCTGAACGGTACTATTAGCCACAATGGCAAGCACAATGGCGTAATTTTTTAATAATTTGCTATATAATTACTATTATTTATGGACATTTGCTTGTCTATAAATTACATATCATAGATATAAAATAGATATCCACCATGGACTGGACATTCAGTGGATATTGAGATGTGCAGTAGATATCCAAAGGATTTGGTGTGCTGTCTGGGTATAGAGGTGTGTTATTTATATTACTTCAGTACAGGTCCTAATATAGATCCCTGAGGAACTTCAGATCGTACCCTCATAGAATCGAAAATAATTTCATTAATTTTAACACGTTGGCTTCGATCAATTAAGTAACATTTTGTCAGACCTAAGGTATCAGGCGAAAACCATATATAATGAAGTACAGCTCACAGAGGGAATGTTTAAGGGTATCGAATGCTTTACTAAAGTCTATTAAGATTAAAACCGAAATGTTACCATTATCCCTAGCCTTTAAAATATCATCGATTTTAGAAGTGCAGTTTCACAATTATGAGATGGTCTGAAACCTGACTGATATTCTGGTAAAATATTTTGAGTTGATAAGTAGATACGAATTTGTTCTTCTATTATTCTTTCAAGTACCTTTGAGAGAGTTGGGAGAATACTAATAAGTAGACCTAGGAATATATGCACCCAAAAAGTAGTTAAATATGCGCATATATATGCCGCAAAATACTTCAATATATGCGTAAAAAATTGAAAAATATGCAGAGCATATGCAATAACAGTAATTTGTTATTTGATCGAAATAGTTTATTAATATTTATTATTTGTTTTATTTTACAATACCTAATATAATAATAATATAATAATAATAATAATATAATAATTATTTAATTACGAGTCTCAATGTACAAACTGTCAACACCACGTTTGCGTAATATACTTTGCTCTGGAATATTAAATTTACAGTATTTTTGCAAAAATGATCGTATATTTGGATTATTTAATTGTATTAAAGGGATATTCGAAGTCACTAAAGCTTTGCATAAATATTCATTAAAAATAGCTTGTTCACTTCTAGACGATCCAGATTCTAAATATTGTTTCAAGGGAAGTTGACTTTGTCTGCGAGTGTCTTTAGATTTCTGCTTTGCTATATGTGAGGGTTTTTTCGCGTGTTGGTCGATTTGAAACTTTTTTTACATGGAATCTAAAACAAATAAATTCCTGTAGATGTTGAAGTTTTAATTAAATTAAATAAATGCGTACGTTATAAAGTTGCCCTACTTTTTTTTAACTGTGAGTTGAAATAATATTTTACTGTCGTTTGATTTACCATTGTGAAAGGTCAAAACAAAATATAAAATAAAAATGTACTTACAATTTTAGAACATGTTTTACAAAACACCTTCTACAACAAAATCTGAATAAGATTTTACCCACGACTCAATTAATTTTGCCATTTTTCCCACTCGTTAACACAACACAACAATAAAGACTGAAATGAAGTTGAAAGTAAACTGAGTCATTTAGAAATTTGAAGATATTAATAGGTACAACTACCTGAAAGGATATTTAACAAAATTTGTTGGTTTAAGGAGGATGTTTATAATTTAATCCTCTCAAGTACCTACACCATTAACCGTAATTTATTACAGGGAAAAGTAAATCCTTCAAAATTTTAGGAAATCGACCTATAAAGGCATTTCACAAAATATTATTTTGGTCCAAAACTCATAATTTTAATAGGTCCAGCCAATTAGTACGTCAGGTATATGCCAAAAAATTAACAAAATGTCAATATATGCATTCAAAATCAAAAATTGTATATATATATATTGTTATATACGTTCTCTTATTTAACCTCACAATTTATAAAAATACACAATAACCTAAATTTACCTCGGCCAGCTTTTTTTATATATATATTTTATCACTTTATTTTATATAGAGCAGATTCTCTTCCTCTCAGTGGTGTCGATTCATGAATTGTAATATATATATTTTTTAATTTATTATTTTAGTTTATTTAGTATATTTAGTATATTAAGTTTATTTAGTTAAGGTAATTTATTTAGTTCAATTAGAATTATGCAAGTTGCTTCTAGATAAATTTGTTACCTGTATACCTAACAATTAAAGATTTAAATAAACAAACTTTTCCAAAATTGAATAATTTAATTTTAACAAGACCACTATGGGCAAATTGAAACAAATCAGGTATTTAAATACCTGTACTAAAATGAAAATACTTAATATCTACCCTACTACACCTACTAAACTTATCTTAATAAATGACAACTCTTCTTGAAGACAAATTACAAAAGAAAATAACAATTATTGTCCAAATATCAATTTTTTATGAATCTCTATCATCGCACGAAACATACTAAAAAGTTTTTATAAATACCGTATCACAGTTTTGGGTTTCACTTCTGTCCAGGTCACTTTCTGCTCAATCTATTCTTTCCTCTTCTTCCTTCTCTTATTAATCTTATGATTTCTCGTAACTTTTACAGTGTATCTTATATAGTTTGTTTATTCAAATCTCCACATATATATTTTAATGATAATTTTACTTTTTAAATGTTCTGATATTTTTTTTTATCATTCCCCAAAATTGACATCCCTCTCAAAATTGACTTTTTTCAACAAGCTTTTTAATCTAGAAAACCAATCTTTTCTATCTACTTACTCTGCTTCACTTAAGCCTTTTATCAATTTTAATATACATGGTTATCAATTATTTTTATTTATTACTATTATTATTATCATTATTATTATTAGTATGGTTATTATTAGTTTTATTATTATTTTAGAATATTGGGTGTTTACATAACATATCAATATATATATGCAATATATGCAAAATATGGCGTTTTGCATATATTCCTAGCTCAGTTGGATTACTAGTTTTTGGAACAGGTCTGATAAGAGCTTGTTTCCAGTTGCTAGGGAAGTAATGTCTGTCAATACAATTATTAATTATATGTGTAATATACAAAATGATTAAGGGACAACACTGAAGCAACATTTTTATATTTAAGCCGTCAGAACATTGAGCATTTGATTTAATTGAGTATAGTAATACAGTAATTTTTGGACTATATCATTTGTAACTGGCGTGAAAGAAACTATCACACGAAGGAATGTTCTTAAGATAACTATCAAGGACTTTTTGATGTGATTGGAATACAAGAAGTGTAATATTTATTTAAATTGGTGGGGTTACATAAGGGATTGGGTATAGTATTTGACTTTTTCCGATGTTTAGTTGTTTTAGATTTTTTCATATATTACTAATACCACCTACTCTTAATTTGTATTCAAAATATGCTTTTTTCACATTTCTGCAGGCTAAAGTAGTATAGTTTTTTAACATTTTGTAGTATTGCAAGTGACTCACTTTTTTGCTCTTTTGCCATCTTTTTTTTGCTTTATCTCGTAATGTTATCTTATTAGGATTATAATTTTTAGTGATTCCTATCTTTTTATATAGTAAATATAGAACACGAAAGTGTCCAAACAACATTCAGTCTGCTTTACTAAAAAGTTGACTAGAATGACTGCAGTTTATTTTAGAGGCACCTTTTTTCATCTTTTTTCCATGAAGTATTTGGCACACGTCCAATTAGACAAGAATGGTATTTAGCGCTATCCATTACTATAACTAAACCCTTTAGTAAATATTCTTCAAAAAACATGAGCGTTCATATCTTTTTAAAATTATACTTTAATCATTTCAATGACCGCTATGTTATTCTTATGGACATTAATGACAGT